ATATATATATATATATATATATACATTTATTTTTCCACTACATTTGACATTTGAAAATTATTGTGCCGACCATATTGAAAATATTTATGAAATATGGTTACGAAATGTTTTCACTATCAGTATCATTGTGCTTGTATTGATTGTTTCTATCTGGTATTCATTGGACTTGCTACTGTTGTCAATTACAGGCCTGTATGCAAAAGGTTTCTTTAGGTTTATTTATTATTAGTGGATGATGACGCCGATGTGCAAATTATTAGTGATTGTAGTAATAATGATAGGGATGCCACATTAATTTTCATTTTTTTGCCAGTCTTATGGCAGAGAGTATCAATATTTTTTTTAGAAAATCTGGTTCCGTTCTATGTTGGATAACTCGTCACAATCTAAATCACCCTTATGAGCAATTGCGCCCGATAGGGTGGGTGGACCTGAAAGAAACTCTAATTTAATACTCTTGGTGGTAGGCACTCCGTTAGACAGTATGCTGGGTTCATGTAGCTTCTACCTCAGAATAGTTCCTCTGCTCTTCTACTATCCATAGCAAGACAACGACGCTGTCTCGAGTAAGGAACAGGTGGGCCTAGCTCATCCATCAACCGTAAAACCTTCCAGATGACACTCAATGATCTTATATAAATGAATAATGATAAAAATTGGGACACATATCATGCATATTCTGCATTGTTGAAGAAAAAGATTTTAAGAACCTTGAAAATCTAAATAGAATCAGCCAATTTGATGTGTTGAGGAAGACCATTCCTTAAATGTGGGGCGGCAGTAGCAAAAGAACAAGCTTTGGAAATTCAAGTCTGTGAAGATGATAAAGTTGCGCATCGGTACGTGATTTAAGATGAGTTCTGATGTATGATGGGGAATGATTGTGAAAAAACTTGTATGTAACAAGCAGGATCTTGAAAGCAATTCGTTGTTTAAATTTTAGCCATATCCTCTATGCCCTTTACAGCAATACAAATAGTGGGAAAATAATAATAATGATAATAAAATGCGGTTGGCTTAAGGTGAGTTAACTTCTGCCTGACTAAATGATGATATAAATTATCACCTGTCTATCAGTGATGAAAATTCTATATTATAGTAATATCTCTATCTATTTTCCGTGTTAAATTATTTCTACCATTAGAAAACAGAAAGCATTAATGTGATATTAATCCACATGTTGATGTTTATGGGGGGTAAACAATAAACATGCAAAAACAACCACATGTTTTGTACTTGTTTAAATATCAAAGAACAAATTGATTATAAGTAGTTCAAGCTTACCTCCATGGTTCAAGGTGTTCTCATTGTTGTAGTTTTATTGAGCTTGATTCATTTCAATAAAGGAGTCCAGTAGCCTAGCAACAGTCAAGGTCATCATCTCTTATTTCCTGGCGGATAATATTATCTTTTTTATTATTTTGCCTCAATGCAAATTATTGTATAAGACTGATGTGTTTGTACACTAATATTATAATACTGTCCTTGACAATATTCCATAAAGTGATAATGATGATGATTATCATTATCCATAAAGTATACGAATACTGTATTTCAATTTGCATCTAATTTTCTATTCAATACTGCTGTATTTTAGATCAGTGTGAAAATGCAATTGCTGAATTTTGGATACTGTAATTTGTTGTATTGACGATACATGGGTTCATCCATGACCTGTTGGCGTGTGCATGGTAGGCGGGCACTTAGGCCTACTTGAATACAAGTAATATGATTGATTTATCGACATTCCTTTAGTTGACAATGCTGTATATTGGGCAGTTCATTGTACTTTAAACATAATCTGATCACTACTTTATTAAAAACTAAAAAACTCCAGTGTTAAAGCTTATTATTAATTTTGACCATTCAAAACGGAGAAGAGACTAAGGTTGTCATTTACAACATGCATCATGTTCTCTGACAAACTTTGCTTGACTAGAGTTGGAAGAACTGAAAACCTGTAAAACCTGCATCTACCCAAGCCAGGTATACTGAACTTCCTATTTTTAATCCTTATCCAAGAAGACTTGGCTCTACCAACTGGACCCTGGGCAAGGAGTGTCACAAGCTTAGGCAGAATTCTATATATAGTAATATCTATCTATTTATGTTAAATTCTTTCTACCATTAGAAAACACAAAACATTAATGTGATATTAATCCACATGTTGGTGTTTATGGGTGGTAAACAATAAACATGCAAAAACAACCACATGTTTTGTACTTGTTTAAATATCAAAGAACAAATTGATTATAAGTAGTTCAAGCTTACCTCCATGGTTCAAGGTGTTCTCATTGTTGTAGTTTTATTGAGCTTGATTCATTTCAATAAAGGAGTCCAGTAGCCTAGCAACAGTCAAGGTCATCATCTCTTATTTCCTGGCGGATAATATTATCTTTTTTTATTATTTTGCCTCAATGCAAATTATTGTATAAGACTGATGTGTTTGTACACTATTATAATACTGTCCTTAAAAATATTCCATAAAGTGATAATGATGATGATTATCATTATCCATAAAGTATACGAATACTGTATTTCAATTTGCATCTAATTTTCTATTCAATACTGCTGTATTTTAGATCAGTGTGAAAATACAATTGCTGAATTTTGGATTCTGTAATTTGTTGTATTGACGATACATGGGTTCATCCATGACCTGTTGGCGTGTGCATGGTAGGCGGGCACTTAGGCCTACTTGATTACAAGTAATATGATTGATTTATCGACATTCCTTTAGTTGACAATGCTGTATATCGGGCAGTTCATTGTACTTTAAACATAATCTGATCACTAATTTATTAAAAACTTAAAAACTCCAGTGTTAAAGTTTATTATTAATTTTGACCATTCAAAACGGAGAAGAGACTAAGGTTGTCATTTACAACATGCATCATGTTCTCTCACAAACTTGACTAGAGTTGGAAGAACTGAAAACCTGTAAAACCTGCATCTACCCAAGCCAGGTATACTGAACTTCCTATTTTTAATCCTTATCCAAGAAGACTTGGCTCTACCAACTGGACCCTGGGCAAGGAGTGTCACAAGCTTAGGCTGTAATTAGAAGTTTCCTATACCATGGAAGAAAGAAAGCAAGCCTATACCACTTAGCCACTTCTCAAGTTCATTCTATTTTTCAACAGTAATGCGTGCAGAGCATATTATATTTCTTATGAATTATAAATAAATTTATAGTGCATTACGTGTATTAAAATTGCATTGAAACCATGCTGAAATGAATGATGAGGGAGCATTGTTTTCTACAAACATCGTACCTGCACTGTACTGTACCTAGTTTCGTGACAATCCTTGTTTACCTTTCCCTCGACCTTGATCCGTAAAGTTGTCATTACATAGTATCTCTCGAAATCCATTTCAATTGTTGCTTTTTTGTGTGTGTCAACTGAGTTATCTAGGTTGTTGTCATAGCTGAATATCGGTTATTCACACTCAAGTTAGAAAATAAATTTGGATAGATTGTGATAATGAAATATCTTAATTCTATTATTACTGATTAGCGCTGTTGAGTTTTAGGTGATTTTGGATTTTTTGTTGTTGATAGACCCTTGGGGGTCAAGGATGTGATCTATTGATCACACAATACAGTGTGGCTTATTGGTTTGACAATGATGTAGATAGTAATAAACATGATAACGTTATTGTGACAGTCCATATCTTAAGCAATGAACAATTTTAATTTAGGCTAAGTAAAATTAATTATAATTGTTAGTTTCATTTCTGTGTACTACTATAGTGGTAAACAGACTAGTAAACAATATACAATATTGTTTTGTTTTTTTTAAAGAGTCTTTTTAATGCATTTTTCCATGTTCACCTCTTTGACAACAATGTTTATGATCGTCATTATTTTTATTTTCAAAAGTAATTTTTTTTTAAAATAGTAAATATTAAATTTTCTCATGAGGCAAATTTTGATTAGGTAGGGTTGGTGGGTG